CCAGCCGCCACGTCGAACCGCGAGGAGGCGACACGGCCAGAGGTTGCTGTTGAATTAAGTTTTCAGGTGGATTTTCCCACTTAAAAACATATCAAAACTACTTTATTCCCACTGATCACAGCAAATACAGATGCAAGGCAAAGAAAGGCCAGATGCAAGGCAGCCATAGCAGCAAAGCTGCTTCAGCCGCGGGTCAGAACTAACTGGTACAATCTAAACTGCAGGCACCAGGATAATAAAAGCGTACATATTCTGCCAGCAGATTTCTGCATTTTAAGTTAATTTATGCGTCAATAAACTGTTTCAGAGGAGTGATCACAGCGCTCTGTGTCATCAGCGATGTGTCTGTCTCACGGCCAGCTCCCAGGTTTGATTAATACTTTGTAATAAATACATGAATAAAGCACAAACATACTCAGTTTTGCTCCCGCTCTATTTTTAAATACGCAGGTATTTAAATGTAGTAGAGGACATGTACCTGTATATAAAAAACTCGCCCTATAGTCCAGTGCACCTTATGTGTGTGTTAAATACAGTAATGGCACACATAACTGAGACTGAGCCTTTTAGTACGGTGTGCCTTATGGTCGTGAAAATACGGTAATAGAGAAATAGATTACTGGACAATAATGTCCAAAGATGGAAATCTAGTAGAACCAGTAGATGAAGTTACAATTTAAGCTTTTTTTTTAATCACAAACTTAACTGGAAATATTATGTAAAATATATAAAACAAAAACTATGCAAAGGTTTTGGACTTTTAAACAGCGTAAAAAAAAAATCAAAATAATAAAAAAACAGAATTCTCAACACTCCAGACATTATTTTATTTATTTCTAGTTCCATATCAGACTTATTGTATGGATGTTTGGGGAAGCACATGTAAAACTAACACTAAGTCTTTGTTTTTTACACAAAAGAAAGCTATAAGAATTTTGTACAAAGTCAATCCTAGAGAACATATAAATAGTTTGCTTATTCAGTCAAATATTTTTAAATGATTTAAAATTAAATGATTTAAAATTTTGTATCGGTTATGTTTAAAGCTAGAAAGAAAAATTGCCATTTGATGTACAAAAGTTTTTTGTCTTAAGTGGCAGAAATAACTGAAGGAAGTATGATTTTTAAAATGAAATTGTGCGACTACTTTAAAACAAATATGCATTTAAGTGCATGGAGTTAAATTATGGAATAGTGTCATGATAGGTCTCTAGTGTATAAATCCACATGCAGAACATCACAAGACACGGGGTAAAGGTTTAACAGTTTATTGAAGATGAGCACACAGAATAATAAAGAGCTGGTTCTGGTACAGGTCCGGGACAGCAATCACTGAGAATCTGCAGAGATGGATTGTTTGGTTAGCCAGGCAGCGGTGAAGACTTGTTTGATACTGATTCAGACTTGTACCTTGATGAGGTTCAGATAGAACACTGGAGAGGGGGAACCAATTGGGTCCAGAGACAGTGGGTTCAGCAGAGCGCTCAGCAGCAGCAACGTCTAGCTTCAGGCTAATGAGTTTCAGACCTTGAATAGATGTCCTGACTGATTGTCTTCAGGTTTGGCTTCCTAGGGCAGGCAGGCAGGTTTCCAAGCTAGCTCCTCCAGAGCTACAGACTTCAGTCAGACTTTCCTGTGAGCAGAGAAGACAGAGGCTGGTTAGAATCTTGTAACTCTCAAGAGCAGTCAGAGATTCTCAAAGTAACAGAGGCTCAGGTTCCGCTAACCAAAACTGGTCAACACTCCGGCGAAGAAGACAGGTCTGGCTGCTGCTTATGTAGGAGGTCTCTTGATGGGCTGATGATCCTCAGGTGTGCTGGAGGCTCCAGCCCAGGAGACCCACAGCGCTCTCTGCTGGAGACAGGTGGCAGATCTCCAGATCCCAACAAATAGTTTGGAAGAGGATTTGCTTTAAACCAATTAAAAATACTTTATAAGATAAAAATGACTGTCTTATACACTTCTGAGTTACTGAGGATAATGATATGTTGTTTTTAAGTCATATTCTTGATTTTATATATGCGGTATAAAAAAAGAAGAAAAAGATTTTCAGGTTTTCGTGAGGTTTCTCTTCTTCCTGATCCTTTTCACTCATATAGATGTGCATTCGTGATGCAGTGTGTTTTGTTGAGTGAATATTGATTGATTGATTCATTAATTATTTGAAATACTGAGAAAAATTTATTACTTTTTAGAATATTAATAATAACAATAATAATAAATTTTATTTAATAGCGCCTTTCTTGACACTCAAGGTCAATTTACAAAAAATGCAAAGATAAATAAAAAGAAAGATGAAAATACAAAATACAGATACAGGAACATAAAAACGATTATTGATAGGGAAAAGAGCAGTGTATTCACAGATAAGCGAGCTGGTGGAAGTATGCAGACCTGGTAATTTTGTTTATGTGAGACTGAAAGGAGAGGAAGGAGTCCAGGATGACACCCAGACTCTTGACCTGAGGGGAGGGGGAGACCAAGGAGTTGTCAATGGGTAGTGAGAAACTTTTGATTTTGGATAGGGTGGATTTAGTGGCAACGAGGAGGAGTTCTGTTTTATTGCTGTTTAGTTTAAGGAAGTTTGAGGTGAACCAGTCTTTAATTTCAAGTAGTAGGCAGTTAGTAAGGGACAAGGGGGGGAGTGAGGAAGTGGGTTTAATGGATAAATAAAGCTGGGTGTCATCCGCATAACAGTGAAAATGAATGTTGAATTTCCAAAAATACTGCCAAGGGGAAGAAGGTAGGAAATGAAGAGGAGGGGGCCAAGAACTGATCCTTGAGGAACACCAGAAGTGACAGGGGAAGGGCGCGAAGTGAAGGATTTGAGCTGAATAAACTGAGTGCGGTCGGAAAGATATGAGCGGAACAAGTCAAGAGGGGTATTCCTCTTGACTGGAATATTCCTACATTCAAAGGAGTGGGAACCATAACCATAACATTTAAAATTACGAATGGCAACAGTCATGTCAACAGAAACTGAATAATCAGGCCAACAGGCCTTTTTTAATTGATTTTATTGTTTATTATTAATTATTATATTGCAGTATAAGCATAATTAATTATTGTTAATTATGTTTATACTGCAGATCCTGTTATTCATTTATTCCAACATTAAAGGGCATTCAAAATATTATTCATTGTCAAATGTGGCCATAATTTCACTTTTTTAGTAATATTTGTATTGAAAACAATTCACTCAAGTTAAATAATCAATTTCTTAAAAGAGTTAAAGTATTTTATTGTAGTAAACAAATCCTCTTTAGGTAAAAAACAAACAAAAAAACAGGTACAGGCAGTTCTATTGCAGTATTTAAATGTCTCCACTTGGATATAAAAATGTCGCTCAGAGATCGAGGTCCCCTCTTGGCAATTTCTTTAAAAATGTATAAGTCAAATCTTTAGTCATATTATGTTAATAGAGCTTTAAAATAAGTTTCATTTTGGGTTTTTGCTTTTTAAAAATAAACTAGAAACAGAAGTCCTGTTCTTGGCAGGATAGGCTGACAGTCCCCTGTTGGTAAGGTGTGTGTGTGTGTGTGTGTGTGTGTCACTAGAATGCAAATGTGCCCCCTCCTGTAATGGTTGATCACCTGGCTGGCAAACATCAGTCTTTCAATCTTGCTACAAATACCAATCTAACACACAATATCCTTGAGTCTAAGCCATACTATCGTAACTCTAAAGCCAGCATACACTGTACGATTGTTGGCTGTTTTCGGGCCAATTCTCCAGCAGTAATTTCTAAATAAATACCAGGTTGGGTCCGAATTAGCCAGCAGGTGGGTCCGCGGTCCGCTAATCTGTGACCTCTGACCTAGAGTATATTTTTTTAAAGTTTAGGAAGGGCAGGCCACCCAGGAGAAGAATTTGGCGGTAATGGTTTTTAGTTTCCTTATGAAAAGACAAAGTCACTAGTTCAAATTTTACAACAAAAAGTAAAAAGCAGGAATACATACACCAGGAGGAAAGGAAGGAGAAGAAACCAAAGCAGTTACAGTTCTGAGCTTTAAAGCTAAAAGTTGGGGAAACTTTCACAGAGAAAAGAGTTAGTCAAAGGTTGTGAATAAGACACAACTGTGTGGTCGTCAGAATTATATCAAAACAATATCTTTTTTTTAATGTCCTTTACTGTTTTAATAGTAATGATTCCAGGAGTAATTTCACTTAAAAAAAAAAAAAAAACAGCCTGTTCTTCTTTGACATATTCAACCAAACAGAGCTCCGATTTAGGTTAAGGTTGTCTGGTCTTAAAAGCAGCAACATTGCCCACAAGAGGCAGGCAGACATAGTAAAATTGAGCAGTGACACATATCTAACCAAAAACAGCTGAGAACCAGTGATGGGACTAACGGCATTGAAAGTTTAGTAACGCCGTTACTTTGTAGTAACGAGTAATGAGTTAGTAACGAGTAATCTAACTAATTACTTTGACTGATTACCATTTTCCTGAGTGATTCATACAGTAGCTCATCCAGTGGTGCAGCCAGAACCCGGTCAAGAAAAGGGAAATTACTGCAGACTTAAACAGACTCCTAGGAATCCGCCTTTCCACAGGCCTGACTTGGTCTTCACAAATAGAAGTGGCTGTTAAGAAAGGGGCCTTGCAGAGACCTGACTCCCTGCTGCAGCTTATCGAGTACAAACTGCCACAAGAGCTGCTGGTCATCTTCTACACTTCCACAGAGATACTTTCTGCCCCCAGGCTGTTGATCTGATGAACATTTAACAAGGACAATGCCCAGATTGATACTATGCATGATTACAGTGATTCAGGTTTATCCCCCTGTTTTATAAAATTCCTGTAGGCTTTACTGTATACACATTTTAACAAAAAAGGAGTGTTTGTAGTAGTAAATATAATCTTTCAATGCAAAGTTGAACTAAATTCACTTTCCTTTTTTATGCACAAACCTATTGTAACAGAAAACTGATGCCCTGATCTGAAAATGTTGTGCATTTAGGTGGAAGTTACTGATGGTTAATCTTTCTCCCTGCAGCTTCCTCATGGTCCTGGTGTGTCTTATCTTCAGTGTCCTGTCCACAATAGAACAATATGCAGAATTTGCCACAGGAACCCTTTTTTGGATGGTGAGTATTTTTATTTAGATGAATAAGTCTGGAAAAAAAAATAATCTAAATCCTGTCACAGAAACACTGATGACATGTACTGTAGATGTTTTACTTTGAGTAAACACAAATTGAAGTGTCTGCCTTTTTATTAGTGTTGCACCGATAATGCACTAAAATTGTGGTATCAGTATAGGCGAGTACCAAAAAATAGAGCACTGATACCATTTTGAGAGTCAAAAGTTTATTCAACTATTGTCACCCAATACAGGTAGGCAATAAAAAGTTCTACTGGATTCACTTGGTATTAATCTTTTTCCTGCTCACAAAGGTAGGCAGCAGCTTGACAAAGCCATGATGGCAATTATTTTACATCCAAGTAGTATGCCGTTCTTTATATACAAACACACACACACACACACATCAGTTTCAAACAGATGAGGTCGGTATTGGCCAATACTGCACAACCAGGTATCTGGTATCGGGGCCAAAAAAAGCCATCGGCGCAACACTACTTTTTATTTTAGCATTATTTTTCCCTCATTGGTCCTTAGTGTCTGTAGCTTTTTTCTGTAAATAGAGGGATAAGTAATTTGTGCTAATTTTAGATAAAGAATTTTTTTCACTCCCTTTTACTTTCTTGGAATATCAATGAAAAAGTGAAATTAAGAATTTGTCATGAATAAAGACAACCCTTACTGCCTTCCTTATCAGATTATCATATATCAGCATAGTCACTTTAGTTAAATGGCTTTGAACTGCTGTAACACTGTCGCTAACGGAGGTCCCTACTCCTCACCGCCACTGATATTTAAAGCAACGTTTGAATGAAAATTCTATAGAGGAAGATAAAAAAAAGATTATTATATTTTGAGAATTTAAAGGTATTTTTTAAAATCTGAATTAGAAAGGAAAATGATCTCATTATGTTTTCTTTCTTAATTTTAGCCCATAGTTACACTTGCATAGAAAGCAGATCATGATGCAAAAGATGTAGAAACTAAAGTTGTTGGCTTGAATGCACAAAGATTCTGAGATAGCTCATAATTTAGCGTATAGTTCCTGTTTTTTATGTAAATCTAAGCAAAGTTAGAAGTAAAAGGCAGTAATAGGCTCTTATTAATTCATGTTGAGAACTGAACTGATGAAAGAACCTAGACTGGATTAAGAAATGTGTGTTATGATGATGAGACTTAGCAAAAGAAAATAGTCACTGCATCAAAATGTTTAAAAGAAAACAGCATAAAAATAGAGGGAAAAATGTACAGAGGACAGAGTTGGTCAGAGCAGCACCTCTGTCTGCACAGCCATGGGGGGGAGAATAGAGGAGCGCTTCAAGATAACTGCTTTAAGGAGCAGGGAGCAAAGAAGCAAACTTTGAAATGGATTATTATCATTTTCTCTGCTTGGACACAGCAGCATGGGGAGGGAGAAGACCTACATGATGCAGCCAAAAGCTATGGAGGAGATAAAAGTTTACAAGTGGATTTCTACACAATTTAGGCCATGGATACTGATTTTATTATGTACCAAACTAAAACACTTCCTTACCTCTTTTATACCTTCCTCTGTGCATGTGGAGTTTACATTATTATCATATTTGTTTAGGGTTTGTTTAGGATTTTCAAATTATTTTAAAATGCTTATATTTAGAATAATTTTACTGTCTGCAAATAATAGATTCACATTTGAATTATGCAATATTTGTCCTATAAATTATTTAACTTTATTAAATTCATATTGCTTGGGTTGCATTTTTAATCCGTCTGACAGTTAAACTAATTAATTTCCCCCTGTAGTGATTATAAGGCTCATCTCCATATTAACAAATATGTGATTAAAGAAGTGGATGTGCTCATCTTTTACACTAATAAATCATTGTTTGGCCCAAAAAATCGTTCTGTTTCCACCATCTTCTCTTCTTAAGACACGATTAAACTCACTGAAACTGTTTTTCACCAATTCTAATATTTCTTCACTTTAGAAGCTTTGGCTTTTCTCCGAGCTTAATGTGCTTTTTGAAAGGATTTCACTTCATTAAGATAAAAGAAAACTCTTAGAAAGCCGGAAAAATAAGATTTTTCCTAAAATTAAATCAAATTATATATTTGAGATTTTAGATTCCTTGTAACAGGCAATGGTGCTTGCTGTACAAACATAAAATAAACTTAAAATATCCATCTTGCATTAGAGATGTTTGAAATAGAAAATAGTTTAAAAACAACAGAAGACTAAATAATCAAATACTCATATATTAGAGTATTTCTCTAACCCTTTTCTGATTGTTTGTGAAAGTAATAGTGCATTGTACATCAATGCATATACAGGAAAGGAAATCTGTTCTTTTAGTCTCACTAGCAAGAGTTGATAAAGAAAAATGTTCTTTTATGATACTTTTTGTAATGTTAATAACTATATTAAATTGATTTAAATTGCACAGTTTTCATTTTAAGCGATTAAAGTTCATGTTAGGAAAAGCAAATACTGTAATGAGTCACTGCAGTACTCCTTTTTTTCCACAGGATGGAGATATAAGATTTTAGTTTGAAGCAATTCTACCTGCCGGCCATCTTGGTCAGTCTAAAGATATTACTAAAGTCAGAAGACTAATGACTTTTAGCTTATACAAACAATCTGACACACACTGCTTACCCTGCACTTACCCAAAGCCTTTAATAGTTAGATTTCTTTTAAGGCTTTCATGATCACACTTGTTATGTAGAATCATTTGGCTCCACGCAGACTGAGCCTGCTGATACCCGCTGGTTAGATTGACTTTTTTGTGGCCTATTTGTCTATTAGGTCTGCTAAGTGATGCAATAAATCGTGGTCTTACAACAGGGTGAGAAAAATTATGGCCGCTGTTTGGAAACCCTACAAAGAGCTTGCATCATCTGTCTCCTGCCAGCACACAAGGAATATAAATACACACGTAGCTTCTGAATGCATGCACACAGTGTGCACACAAGCTGCACAAACACGCGTAGTTCCAGCTACAGCAGAGTGGACACTGTGTTCTGTAAACATTTGGCTAGTGCCCTTTAAAGACCTAATAGCTCCGTTTTGGTTGTTTGGTTCCCCTAAACAGTCAGGTTCTCTTAACTCTGAACCTTTTTCTTACATAATCATGCAGGTTTTTGGCTAAAAAAAAATATATCCTGTGAATAAAAGGAGAGAAATTCAATTAAAAAAACAGTTTGCACACTTAACAGCATATTTTTGTTTGCAGGCTTGCAAACCAAAGTAAAGGTTAAATATTAAGTATGAGATAAGATTTTATCTGTTGTTTTTAAACGTACGTGTAGTTAGTGTGGATGTGTTTGTAAGTGGCTGTGTGACCCCGTGGTGCAGGCTGGTGGCAGTAACTATACTTAGAAAGTTCAGGGTCAGCTCACAGTGAATCACAAGCTGCTTGTTTTGGATGGCACAGGGGACATTGGTCCTTGAGGATATTTGGCCTTCGGGGCAGCTGCCAAAGTAAAGCTATGCAGGCTGGGCTGCAGAACACAACTACACACACATCGACTTGTCTGACTGTATTTGCAGGCCCTTTCCATTGACTTCCGTTAATTTCTACAGCCTAACCGTGACCCCTACCCTAACCTTAACCATTACAGGTTCATATCTAACCCTAAACTCACTTCACACCTTAGTCTTAAAGATGACCCCTGAATCAAATACAGCAATACCCCTTATGGGATCCAGGCATTTGGCCCCACATGGATCAGTTGGTCCCCACAATGTGCTATTTGTCCAGCAAATGGACCCCAAAATGTGTTTAAAAACAAGAACACCGTTTTACCTCAAATGCATGTCTTATTTGTCTGTCTCCTCTGCATAAACATTTGTAAAACAACCTGTGCATCAGGTTTTGCTGTCTTATGCAACTTTTTAACAAACATTTTGAAATAGCAACTTGACTAATAAATACACCTCAGTGCGTGTTGTTATTAAGATATTTGGAGATGTTTGCACGTACAAGAAAGGATGTGGTTGGATGTCTAAAGAAGCTACTTTTAAAGGAAGTTTTGGTCTTTTCGAAAGTGTTTAGAATGTTTATTTTTTCTTTTAAATTGAAACATATAAAATAGAAAATGTAAAATTTGAAACATGGAAAAATATTTTAAAAATATTTACCTTTAATTGGTATATTTTCTTTAAATAATTTTATAATTGTATGCATTTATGTTGTTTTTAACCATTATTTCCTGATGTGTTTTACTGTTGTTCTTTGTTCTGCACAGATTTTGTTTTTAATGGGCTTTATAAAATAAAATAATTTATGGTATTCTGAAAAAAATTGATTGAGTACATTTATTTATATATATTATTTTATCAATATTTTTTTATTTAAAGAACTTGTAACACATTCCTAAATTCTCATTTATGCCTAAATTCAAATTTACTTTAATAATTTTAATAAGATTTTTTGCTAAAAACCTTCCTGTTTCACATGGGTAATAAATTAATCTGTTCTTTTAACCAGTGGCCAATCTATTAAAAAAGGGCCCATGTTTTTCCGTGGCACTTTGCAGTTAACAGTAAAGTAATAAGGCAAAATAAATCTCCAAAGCTAACTGTTACAGTAGACAACTGCAGCAAATGATGGTGTTATAAAATCGCGATGTCTCTGGTAAAAGCATTAGATTCTATATTCAGTCAAACCAGTTTAATGATGCATGCCAGGAAAAGTCTCCCCTGTCCTTTCTTTCCAAATGTTATATAAATTTGCTGAAAACTGATGTTGCCAGTTGTCTGTATGAGTGAGAAAAGAACAAAATTAAACTTTCCTACAAAGATTAATCCATATTTTCTTGGCTAACTAAAAAAAATAAAACAATGTTTCATGTAAAATCAATTTAAAAGTACTATTAAGTTTGTGTGGGGGACATGCGATGAGGTATATTCCTACATATATGTATACCTGGTTATAAAGCAGGAAAAACGAAGATGGGTGATCAATGAGTATTTAAAAATGAGTATGATGCAAAACATGCAGCCATCTTTGTGTCCTATTGGCCCCAAGGAGCTCTGCAAAGTTTTTACAACAGAAAAAAGTATACTGATTACTTTCTGAAAATAAAATTTATTAAAATTTTTTCCTTTTGTCCTACTTAAGTATAAAATTATTTTAACGCTCTTACCAGGTGTGCCAATTATTTTCAATTGGAATAAAAGATCATGTCATTGATCTAACTTTGCAAGTCAACAGAATTTATGCAAATCTGGTTTTAAACAATGTAGCATTTAATGAAATTAAAAAGGTGGCTACATACAAAAGTTGTTTATTTTCACTGTGGTTTGATAACAAGCCTATGTTATTTATGCCTTTTCTGAATGGTACAGCAACATCACAAAACAGTCAGTCTGTGTGTGTAACGTGTGGGTGTGTGTTCGTGTGCCTTTTTTCCTCTCTATAGTGAGACACCATGCGACCTAATCACATTTTCACATGATTCTCCTCTGATGTGCTTCATCCTCCATCCTGACTTGATGAGATTATCGCTGACCAAACAGGCAGCTGCTTCCAGTAAACACATAGTTGCCGGTTTCAGATACGAAATACCCTCCACCCCCCCGAAAGGAAAACATCTGGGTGACCCATTTTATGGAATTATTCTGCCCTAATCTCTTTAAATTTCCCAAATTCATTTGTACCTTTTGACATTCAGATTTGTATCCATCTGTCATGAAGCTCAATAGGTCTGTTTTTTTATGATTGTGTCAGTTTGTGGCTGATATTTTAGCTACTGTAACAGGATTTTTTATTATTATTATTATTCTGTTTCACCTATAGAAATCTGCTGAATTATTTTTGTCTCTAGTTGGATCACCTGTTCTTTCATTACATCTTAAACTCATGGACATAATGAGATTCTTCATATTAGCTCCACTTTCAACATTTGGTGACAGACTAACAATTCAATTCAGTTTATTTCCATAGTGCCAATTCACAAAGCATGTCATCTCAAGGCGCTTTACAGTTCACCAGATCATACAGACAAACTGATTCAAAGTTTTCTATCTAAGGAAAACCAGTTGATTGCATTGACTCTTTGAATCGAGGCAATCCCTCACGTTTAACATGCTTACAGCGACAGTTGAGAGAAAAAGCTCCCTTTAAACAGGAAGAAACCTCCAGCAGAACCAGGCTCAGTGTGAACGGCCATCTGCTGAGGCCGACTGGAGTTCAAGGAGAGATACAGAAAGAAGCAGAAATACAAAGAAAGTAACACAAAGTATTACATAATTATACAATGGAAGAAAACCAATGTATGATTTTAGAAATGTTTACATATAAAATATGTGAAATTTCTGGCCTAACATTTGTTTTCAACCCCTTTACACCGATGTCACTGAATAAAATCCAGTACAGCCTGTATTCTACTGTACATGACTCATTTAATTAGTATAAAACATTACCTACAAACTTATATATTTATAAGCAATCCCTAAGCTTTTAACATCTGGGAAAACAGTTCAATCCATCACCTGAAGTTTGATTAAACTGCTAATCTATTAAGACATGGCCGGTCAAGAAAAGTTAACAACACAAGCTTAATTTTAAGAAAATAAACAATAATTTCATGGTAGCTCTGGAGGAAGTGTGGAGTTTCAAATCTCAGGTGATGTTAATCTGTCCACTAATCTCAGATTTATGGAGAAGTGGTAAAAAGAAAGCTTTTGTTGAATAAAAACCATAGAAAGTCCTGTTTGTAGGTCACTCCAAACCGAGTCCTAAATGTTAAGAAGGTTATCTGGTCAGAGACCAGTCTACATTGTAAAAACTGTGTGCAATGGAAAGCAAAAATCCACATTACCTTTACTTCAACATCCACCTGGTGAGACAAGAGGATGACAGTATAACGCTGTGTGGATGCTTTTCCTCAGAGAAATATGGAAGCCGGTAAGATCTTCCACCTGGACAACACTGCGAAAATTATTAAATTAAGTGTATTTACTCTTAATTTGAGTAGGTAAATTAAATAGTTTGCTAATGGAATGAGTATTTTTACTCTTAAAATAAGATAATTGGATAATAGGCACTTGAAATAAGACAATGCAGTTGTGTTTAATTATTTTAAATGAAAATTGTCTCATTCCATTGGCAAAATACCTCTTTTACCTCCTCAAATCAAGAAAAAATTCACAAATTTTAAGAAAAATTACTTATTTGGATTTCAATTTTTTCCAGCGAAGGATCATGAACATACAGACTAAGCTGCAATTAGGTAACTTGAATGAAACCATATTCATGTGCTAGAATGGCCCAATCAGAGTCAAGATTCACATTGAGTTTATAACCTATGCTACACTGAGGGATGTATCCTCAGACTGCCACACCTCAGCATACAGCCTCCACACCGTTCCATGGTTTGGCACAGTTTCAACCAAAACTATTAACCAATGACTAATCTTCTTGTACCTCAAAGCTTTGTACTACTTAATACTAATCTATCACTTAAAATTTCAATAAAAACAAAGAAGTATGTGGTAATGACATCGCAAAAAAGGGTACAGTTTTGAATTTTTCACATGTACTTTATCAAGTTTTCACCAACCTAAAATCCTTTGGCTCAGGCTGCAACAGAAAACTTCATTTCCGGAGGAAGGCCGTTTTGATTGACAGGTCATTGTTTTGCAGTCTGCGGTGCTGTGTTATTACAGCAGGGCTAATGGTATTAAGTTTCATGCAGGGGGTGGTCAGGGAGCAGCCAGCTCATGCAAGTGCAGTCAATAAAGAGGCCACCCACATGGCCAAAGGCTCCAACAGACAGTATGGTAGCTAAATATTATGGAAAGACAGTGGCCGGGAAAATAATCTCACCAGTCAGAAGGCCTTTTTCACAACATTTAAAAAGAGGCTCATGGTGAAAAGGGAAATGAAGTCTAGAAGAACTTTCTTCTGCAGAAACGCACAACATAAAATAACAGCCTTGTTTTGTTGATTTCTATCCCGTGGAAACATCTGAGGCAAACATTTAGCCGCTCTGTTTCTTAGAAAGCTGTGTGATGCCATTTCTTCTTTGGCTTCAATCACTTAGCCGTTAACCCTGACATGATATGAGCTGTCGTCAACCATGCTATCAAGCTCCATCTCTCCAGGAGCTTGGATGGGTGGTCCGGGCAGAGTCAGACCACCTTAGTGTCTCTCTCTACTTCTGCCTCAAACACCTGTCATTGCTCCCTCATATTCTATTGTAAGTCTTGGTGATTGATAATAATAGCCTGAAATTAGTCTTAATGCACGGCATTGTTAGCGCTCCTTTTAGGAACAACATGTTATCTACATCCCTTCATCCTATGTGTAGGTTTTGCTGTTTTTTTCTTTGCTCCCGTAGATTAAGATAACCATTGCTTTTTTTTCTTTTTACATTGTGATCTGCAGGAGATCGTGCTGGTGCTGTTCTTTGGTACCGAGTATGTGGTCCGGCTGTGGTCGGCAGGCTGCCGCAGCAAATATGCGGGCATCAAAGGACGCCTCCGCTTTATCAGGAAGCCCATATCAATCATAGGTGCACCTGCTCTCCTTTTTTCTCATCTAGTACAATGTTCATTTCTGTAGCTCCAAAACCTTGAAGCATTCAATTTTTTTTCGTGTACCAAATAATTAAACCCAGCTAGGTTCAGTTGTTATTTTTCGCATTTCCTTTCCTTCAGATTTGATAGTCGTCATTGCCTCCGTCATTGTGCTCGGTGTGGGGTCAAATGGACAAGTGTTTGCCACATCTGCTATCAGGTATTTTAAGGATTCTGTAAGCAACAACACATACTTTCTCCACCAATCAGAGGATAAGGACTGATCAGCTGGTCCTGTGTGTTGCAGGGGTATTCGTTTCCTGCAGATCCTGCGGATGCTGCATGTGGATCGACAGGGAGGAACATGGAGGCTGCTGGGATCTGTTGTCTTCATACATCGACAGGTGGGTGAGGAAATATAAAAACCTTCCACAAGAAGATCCATGCTTTACACTCCAAACATATTCATACTTCCCGTTTAACGTATTTATTACCCTTGGCATTTAACAGAGTTTTATGATATATCAGTTTGCACAAAATGATGCAGTTTTTTTTTTTTCATATAAAAGCCTGAAACCTGTAGTGTGCTCATCTTCTGCCCTGGGTCAAGCTTAGTGAATCTAATGCTAAAAATGTTCCCCAACCTTCTCCTGAACGCCAGCTCACAATAAGAATAGCTAGACAGGCTTTGTAAAAAGCCGTTCATAATTGTTGCCAAAGGTTCTCAGGTTTTTACTTTGACTGGGCCATTCAGGATTGTTGTTAAGATGGAAGGTAAACTCCACAGCCCAGTCCCGATACTATCAGCCTTTTTCCTCTGTTAACTATGGCAGTCCGTGTTGACATTTACAGTATTAGCCTGACTAAATATGTATTTCAGATGTCTCAAATGTTTTTCTTCCTAGTCTAAATGAAAATTTCAGATATCGTAAATGCAATTCCTACTAGTACTAATCTACTTGTACTTCCAGATATCCAAAATAAACATTCTCTAATCTCAGATCTCCATAATACTGTTACTGCTAGTCATAATGAGAATTCAGATATAAAAAAAGAAAAAAAAAAACATTCAACATCGAAAATATCGAAAATTCTACTGCTTGAAATATCTTAACAGATATCAAGTACTTATTACCGGTATATGACTGGTTAAGTTAGAAGTCCAGATATCACAATTCTAATATGAATGGAAAAAAGAGATGTCATTTTTAGTTTTAGGAATTGCATTTGAAATATCTGAAATGTTGATCTGAGATGGGAAGAATGTCGTTTTAGATGTCTTAAATATTAGTATTGATTAGGATCTATGCATTTTAGACATCTTTAATAAATATTCAGTCAGGCTTATAAATGTCAAATTGGCCACTTTTCTGATTGATTGATTGACTTGATTGACAGTGGAGTAATTTACAGGTCACATTGGGTCAATAGTCAAAAAGAAGGTGCCAAAATGAGGAAAAGGTGCTTGGGGGATATATACAGAGATGGGAAGTAACGAAGTACAAATACTTTGTTACTGTACTCAAGTAGATTTTTCTGATATTTTTACTTTACTTTACTACTTATTTTTATTGCGACTTTTTACTTCTACTCCTTACATTTTAAAAAATTGGCTCGTTACTTTAGTTTTGAATCATTTCAATGGAGTTACCGTTATTATTTTTCATGTCATCAATACCAAATTCAATCTAATTGGATGGGAAACTACGTTGCATTTGACGCACCACTACAAGATGAATCGACAGATTCGGCGGTATTCATTCGCGGCAAATCATTGCAGCTTGGTGGCGGTGGCGTTAGCATAATAGAAAATGAACACAACGGAGATCTAGTCCTATTGGCAGACATCCATTTAAAATGTAGGCAACGGCATGAAAAAAGTGGTTTCTACTTTTACTTTTATACTTTTAAGTAAATTTACAAGCCTGTACTTTGTTACTTTTACTTGAGTAAAGAAGTTTAATCAGTACTTCCACTTTTACCAGAGTATTTTTTAACACAAGTATCTGTACTTTTACTCAAGTACGGAAAGTGAGTACTTTTGCCATCTCTGGATATATATATATATATATATATATATAGTATATCAAGATTTCCAAGTATCTGAAACTTTATTCTTACCCTCAAATTTAGATTTTGCTGACAAAAAATGTAATTTAGGAAATCTATAATTACAGTTCTGACTAGTAGCAATGTACTTTTGACAAGGAAGAATCTTGTTTTAATGGCAAATGGAACAACAGAGAGGACAGTGCTTCGATTGAATCTTAAAGCAGCTTGCCATATGTCTCCTTATATTTAGAGCCATCCTTCTGACCAGCCCTTGTGTCCCGGCTGAACAGTGTCCCCCAGCATGATGCTGCCGACACCTTGTATAATGTTGGATATGTTAAGGATAATGTGCAGTGTTTGTCTGTTGCAACATTTAGCATATATAGACCAAAATGTTCACATTTGGTTTCATGGAGCCAAAGCATCTACTACTCTGGATCTTCCATGTTTGTGACAAACAAACTTTTGAATGCTTAAAATTGATTAAATTAATACCAATGGAATGCTTTTCTGTTTGTGATTCTAGGATGACTAAAAATACAGTTGAATTTACATTAAAACTTTTGCAAAAATGCTTATTTTTAAACAGTAGTTTTTATATAAGTCTGTTTAAAAAGATAAGTAGTGCGCTCTCAGTAGGCTGCAGGTTTTTCTGTGGGAAAAAATGCAGGCATAAGTATTGCTTGTACCCCAAGTTAAAATCCCCATTAAATGTACTCCTCATGACATGACTGTGTGTGCATGAGCAAAAAACCTGAGGCAGATCTGGCTTTATAAGGAGAAGAAAAGAAGCAGTCAACCTTCCCACATTTTTTTTCCTTTGTACTATTGTACACTTGTTTTAGATTTCTTTCTTGCTAATACACAATAGAGTCAGAGGATGTAACACTCTTTTAATCTCTGAAGTACATCCGGTTGCTTTTTGCTAGACCTGACCTGACATTCATGTCTTTAACAAACAAGAGGTGCAGAAATTCACATTGAACGCTGAGTGGAGAGGGTCATTAAGTTACTTCTAAGAGAGAATCTAATGTGATTCCCTGCCTTTTTTCTGCACTGTTGGATGATTTACCAAATTATATGCTCTGCTTAGTAGAAATCTATTGCTTTTTAAAGAAGTAGATTGAAGTGGAATACACTTGAGTTCTTATCATTGCACTTCAGATCCGTTAAAGCAGTTATTTGCTCTTAGCGTGTCAAACTCAAAGCAGATAGCCTTAATGATATAACAGTGCAGCAACAGTTCAAAATATATTAGTTTTTTGACGTTTGGTTATTAATGCCTTCTATGGCCTTCATACAAGACTTTAAAAAAAAGGTAAAAAAGTGAATGAGGGAAGGAGAGAAATGTTTACTTAAAATTGTAGAAAATCTCACTAAATTGATAAAGAGACTATGTAGATATTTGTTTTCTCCGTGCCACAAATGATAAAAGAAGAAAGTAAAGACAAGCATCAAATTTCTTAATTCAAAGAGCTAATTTTTTTTACCAATAGTTTATAAAATCTTATGTGCTATGCTAATTAATTAAACATTCATTTTTAACTATGAATTAATTCTATTGTTTTCACTCATAAATTAAAAACGGGTTCTTGGGTTCTTTCCCAGCTTGAAGTGTTGGGTCTGTTCTTCCCTTTCACACAACAATTAAATGGAGCAAAATGTTACAAGTTTTGTTTTACCAGAAATGCTCAATAAGTTTGCTTGTTTTTGTCCTATTAATTATGTTGGGATATGATATCTTTACCAGACCGTGTCTTCCAGACCACTCAGGTCTTCTAGTTCCTGCCTCCTCTGTACACCCAGAACTAGAACTAAACATGGAGAAGCAGCATTTAGTTCCTATGCTCCTCTTATCTTAAATAAACTCCCAGAAGACTGGAAAAGTGCTGAAAGCCTGAGTTATTTTAAGTCAGTTAAAAATCCATTTGTTTAGAGCTGCCTTTAACTGTTGAAGTTAAACTACTAACTGAGGTATTATAAGTCAAGGTTGTTATACAGCTGTTTTATTAGTTTTTTTTTTTTCTATATTTGTTTGCTTTTATATCCACTTAATGTAAAGCACCTTGAATTGTCCCTGTCCTGCTTACAATGTTCTCTCCTAAAAATATTCTCAACATGTATGTTATTAAAGAAAGTATGATATATTCAATTTTAATCACAGTTTTAATCAATTCCTGAGTTTAATTTCTTGTGTTTTTCTCTGTAACATTGCAGCAAATAACTTAGTTTTGATTAGGGAATCCAAATCCAATCCTTTTTTTTTTCAGTCCAATCAGTTTCTGATACATATACTGAGAGTATCAAATACTGATCCGAAACTACTGTTGAATAAATTAACCATCAAGCATCATGCTTCACATAAACATTGTTAAAAATGGTAACAAATTAATAGAGACATAAATGCTTACTAGCTAATATGTGTGTGCTCTTTGTGATGAAGTAATCAGTGTTCCAATCCTAAAATTGAAATCCCCAGATCATTGTAACTATATCATTCATCCAATATCTGATCAATGGGTTAATATTGGAGACGTTATTGGATCGAATCGCTGCATCTCTTGATTTAATATTGCATATTTATATCTTTAATTATGCAGGGTCTCCTTTTTTTCCTCCAAGGAAATTTAGGACTTTTGACATCAGAGAATATATATATATATATATATATATATATATATATATATATATATATATATATATATATATATATATATATATATATATATATATATATGCAAAAAAAAGTTAATTTAAAAAAAGTTAAAATTTTATTTTTTTATTAACTGAAATTTACTCCATTGTGTCCAGTTATTTATTTTATTTTAATCTACAATCGTCTTGTACTTGTACTTGTTTTTTCATTAGCCGTGCCTTGAAAACATTTTGCTAATAAAACAAAGACATGTTTGCATAGAGGGAAGCTTGTTTTGAGCCTAAGAGAAGCGGTTTTGAAATATCTTTTCAAGTTAGGACAGTATGAATCCTCCATTTAGATAGGATTTAGTTAGGATTTTAAAATCATTTCTCCTCCCTACCTTCATGTTTTCAGGAGCTTATCACCACCCTGTACATTGGCTTCTTGGGGCTGATCTTTTCCTCCTACTTTGTCTACCTTGCGGAGAAGGATGCAGTGGATGAGGAGGGCAAGACGGGCTTTTCCAGCTATGCAGATGCCCTGTGGTGGGGCGTGGTAAGAAAGCAATACACACAAAAAAAAGTCTTGGTGTTGAGAAAGTTTTAATTTATTTTAAGCACAAAGAGCTGTGAAAAAGTATTTTAACCCATTCCAGATCACCTCTGTTTGCATCATTCTGAAATGTTTCAGATCAAACTAGTTTTAGATTCAGATTCAGAAATACTTTTTCAGGGTTTGAAATTTCACATATATTTTAAATTCAACATTCTGCTACTTTTTTAAGACCACCTTGTTATTAGGTCCTAGTTAAAGGAAATGAATGTGGGTACATCAGCTGGATCAGTTACAATCGTCCTTTTGCTTGTTTTCTGTTTATCACAGAAATTTGACAGAAACATTTAACCCTACGCAGATGTAATGACGTTTTTCCATTCTCAGAGCTGCTTTCACCCCAGCTTGAAGGTTCAGATTTCCAGAGGATTAATTAAAGTTTTGAATTGAAAGTGCAGAATAATGAGAAACCTATGGCAGCCCTGTGCAGGGGATCAGTGTGTCACAAAGTAATGAACCATTCACCCCTTGCAACTTTGCCTCAAAGAACTTTTAGAGCACCAATATAAAGTGTCAGTTCCCTTAATTAAAACTTTAATTGCGGGGTTGCTACCTTTATGTAACATGGGTTACAAGGGTCACGCTACTCCTCCCTCCTGTGTTCAGGCAGTTATTTGTGTTTTTTGTTCACAGCACACAGAAAAAGGAGTCCCACTTGCGGATTCGCACCTCTTTGTGGTTTACTGAAACTGTAAACTTGAGAGTCATGATATGCTCTTACAATAGGTGGGGCTGAGGAATGCAAGGGTTGTGTGTGCGTCTCCTGATTGGACCCTGCTAAGCTTTTCCACAGCACATTCCTTCTCTTGGCATAATTTGAACATTCGGATGTGCAGGTGCACAACTCAGCTGAAGACTGAGCCAATGCTATGATTCATATCCCATTCTCCTAAAGCCTCGCTTCCTGACCCCGCCGCCGCCAACCATCTTTTCTTTTAGCACATTCACTGTTGCTGATAGGTAGATGACCATTGTTTGGTCAAAAAACTTTCCAAAAAATGTCTCATTCTGTTTTGGACAAGAAAGGGTCACCTGTGGGTCATTAATTTATTTAAACTGGAAATAAATACAGAATAGATTTAATAAATATTTAATTAATCACATAGATCTCTGTTAAACAAAAAATATTTATTTTATAAAAGTTAATATAATTATTTAATGACTTAATAAATTCTTCATATTCCTGCATTTAAGCACCCCATGAAGTCAATTAAACTGTCACACATTAATTAAAGCCAAGGAGGCGGGATTAGGGCCACTCTCATAGAAACTCTGACATCTGATTGGCTGCTTATAACGAAACAAAATAAAAAAAAAATAATTAAGCAAAATAAATAATTTCTTCGTGGTTGTCTTTTCCTGAATTCAATTCAATTCAGTTTATTTATATAGCGCCAAATTCACAACACATGTCATCTCAAGGCACTTTACAGTTCAACCAGATCATACAATCAAATTGATACAAAGTTTTCTATCTAAGGAAAACCAGTTGATTGCATTGACTCATTGACTCAAATACAATCCCTCACACTTAGCATGCTTGTAGCGACAGTGGAGAGGAAAAACTCCCTTTTAACAGGAAGAAACCTCCAGCAGAACCAGGCTCAGTGTGAGCGGCCATCTGCTGAGGCCGACTGGGGTTCAAGGAGACAGAAGCAGAGATACAAAAAGCAGCTGTAAAAGGCGGCCCCGTCCAGGAAACACACAGCCAGGCAGACGAGCTCCGAGCCAACTCCCATGCCAGAGGACGAAGAGAGCACATCCACTCAGTCACGGTCAGAGAAACAGGACTACACTGAAAAACAGGCCGATCTCCAGCATCTATAAACAAGGGTGTTGATGGAAGCAGCACATCTGATGTTTCTTTCCAGGATGGCGTCACAGCCAAAAAGGAACAGACGAGGCAAAGCTACTCTGAGGAAAAGCAGAGAGAGCAGAAGGTTAGAGATTGAACTAACAGATTTTGCAGAATAGGAGAATAGAGAGAGAATGAAGCAGAATGATGAAATGGGGGTCCCTATGTCCTCCAGAAGTCTAAGCCTATAGCAGCATAACTATAGAGATAGCTCAAACATCATTATCACTGCAAGCGGCATAAATAACTCCAAAATGTGTTGCAATTTATTTGCAGCAAACTGTGTGAGCAAATCAAGGCTCTATACCCCTAGTTTGGTCTGAGATAATGAACCTGAAACAGCTTCCTTTGGGCTAGTGGGGTGGGAGCTGCCAAAGACTCCAACAGAATCAAAGTTAGCTCCGCCTACTGATTAACACCAGCGGAGGCTGGAATTGTTCACAGCAAACAAATGGTAACACTTTTTTAAAAACTCCTTTACAAATATTCTAGTGAAACTTTTCACAGTAAAAGAAAACTAAGAAGTTGTCTTATATTGCTCAGTGAGAAACAGCCAATCAGATATCAGGGTTTTATGGAGAGTATCTAGTCCCGCCTCTTTGAAGTTGATGGATGTGTGACAGTTTGAATGAATTCATGATGTGTGTCTCATTGCAGGAACATGAAATAATCTATTAAATCATGAAAAAACTATATTCACTTCTTGACATTACATCTCTATTCTGTATATTATGGACTATAGAGCGCACCTCACTATAAGCCGTACCCACTAAATTTTTGGGAAAAAACAGTAAGCCTACTATATAAGCCGCACCGGGCTTTAGTCTAGTCTCTTAATTAGTTCGGCAGCTTTAATGCAGCAAATAAATGGCAAAATGTGTGAATTCAGGACATTTGTTCTCCGTTGTGCCTTCTACCAATGTATTCTAAATGGAGATGTATGCTAAATGAAATACAGCCCCTTATGCTTTGATTTACAACTTTGACTTCCCCTTCTGGTGGTTAGGAAAAATCAACAGATATGCTGCAACTTCTTATGAGCCGCATGGTTCAAAGCGTAGGAAAAAAGTAGCAACTCATAGTCTGGAAACTACAGTATTTAACAGACTCATATAATTAATTATATAGTTATTAATTGTAGTTTTAATACATTAATGACTAATTTAAATAACAATTTTAATAGTTTTTTATTTATTGTATTGCGGCACTTGTACATTGTGCCACAAGCTGTAATTTATTATACCTCAGGCATGATAGGCCTGTGGGTTAGGTTTTGAAACATCTGAAGAACTGAACATTCTTTAAAGTTCTGTTCTATCTGTTCTAGAAAAATATTAAGTTATGTGGCACACCTACAGACTGTGCAAATAGTGCATGCAAATATAAATAAGGAAAATCATTGAGCGGATCATGGTAATTCTGAATGAATTGTAAATATCTACTGCTCAGATTTGATCATCTGTGGACAAGACTGTTAGTTTTTCACCATCAGTTTGGCCTGAATGGGAAATTATAGGATAGCATCAATTTTTAACTAAACCATAAGATATCCTGATTTCAGTTTGCTATGACCAAACCACTGGAAGAAGATGCTCAGGTTAGATGAGACCAAATTTGACTAGTTTAACCTGCATGTACAACTATATGTGGAGCAATGATATTCTCTCTGTTAAACATGGTGGTGGCACCATGATGCTTTGGAGAAGCTTATCAGAGATGCATGGAGCTAAATATAGAGCAACCCTGTAAGAGGCTGCAGAAAACAGGAGACTGGGAGAGAGTTTCATCTTCAGCCACTTTTCTGATCCTAAACATGCAGCCAGAGCTCCAACAAAACCGATTCGTTAAATTCTTATTTCCGTAAGAATGAGCCAGTCTGGGTTATTTTGCCTCCGTTTTAAGGATTATGGGCTACTTTATGTTGTCTATCACATAAAGTTACAATATTTACATGAAAGTTTGTATGTTTGTTGTAACGGGGGTGAATACTTTAGCAAGGCTCTTTATAATTAAAAATCAGAGCTCTGATGTGTGTGTGGATTTGAAGCCATTCTTGGGCCCACACTCTACAATCTGAATGAAAGGACCTGTTTTCTGAATAGAGCATTCCACTCTTATGTCAGGAGGACATTGTTTAGTCATCGGATTTGTGGATGAGTGATTAAATCCCCCAGAACTCCACCCACCCCAACATACACCAACCCGCCTCTCCTGCCTCCGCTCTTTCTTTCTTTACCCTCAAAGCTCTTTAAAGTATCTCACCTTACATCAGCCGCTTTGTGTTAGCGCGCAGCGGTGGCTCACCCAGCGATACCCCACAGACAAGCGCTCTAAGCCGAGCGCGCTCTGAATGTGTCAGAACTGGCTCAGCTTTCAGAGTGGGCCGCACATGCGAGCGCGAGAGCTATTTGTTTTCCCTCCTCAGCCCTGCAAATTCCTGCACTCATTGAGGATTAGTGGATGGGAATCTCATTCCCTTGGAGAAGAAAGAGCCCCAAATGCCACAGCAATCGTTCAGACAGTTGTGGGGCAACTCAACAATAGCTGATGAACTTCTTGATTGTCTAAATCAAGATTGAAAGTCTTTGAATAACCATTTGATAGCAGTTGGATTTAATTAAAATGAAAGAGGATTTAATATATCTGTTTAATTTGACATATGAATATACATTTCATTATGATCCCAGATGTCGTTCTCATGATCGGGAATCTGATCTGGGATTTGTCTGCACAGTTTTTCGGAAAAGCATGTTTTGTGTGTGAAAATCTGGAATCCTTCCTTTTCTTCAGGTGACCGTCACCACCATCGGATATGGAGACAAAATTCCTCAAACATGGATAGGGAAGGCCATCGCCTCATGCTTCAGTGTCTTCGCTATTTCTTTCTTCGCTCTACCTGCTGTAAGCATATATTTTTTTCTAAATTATGGCTTCCTTTAGACTTTACTTTTAAATTGGAGTACATGTGGATATCAGGATCTTAAAAATGAGTATTAAAGTTTTAATATATATTTTCTTTTTCATTTCAGGGAATTTTGGGTTCAGGATTTGCCCTCAAAGTCCAGCAGAAGCAGAGACAGAAGCACTTTAACAGACAGATCCCAGCAGCAGCCTGTCTCATCCAGGTAGCTTTTCAGAACCGGAAATGTTTTTCTTTTAAAGGTGGAAGGATACCAACATTAAAATATTCACTTTACATGTACCTGTATGCCTATCAAGTTTAATTCAACACACATGTCATTTTTTCCCTAATTAGTCTAATATTATCCTAAGATTTGACCATAAATATATAAAATCAGTTCTCAATGGGTACAGTAGAAAATGAAGCTTTCAGACAAGTTTTATGGTGCTAAACCACAACTTTATCAGTGACTTTTCAGTTGTTTTTTCCTTGTCTTTGTGATGCAGTTTGTTCGCTAACTCTCTTCACAATGTGTTAAACTCAAAAATGAACAGAAAACAAAAATAGACAAGAAATTATATTTTTTAAGTGTTTAGCATCAACATGAATATAGGGAATAACATCATTTTTTTCATACTAGAAACATTTTCTACTTTTATAACTCTTCTTCTCAAGGTGAGATGACTCATGTAATTTGTAGTTATTGACCTTAAGATTGAATTAAAACAAACCAAATGGGACACCTTTCAGTGTTGTAGCATTTAAGCCTAATAAAGAGTAAAGAGTACTTCCTGTTAGCAAGTTGTGCAACAACTTACAATATGATCGGTAGACAGACATTATAATTGACCTGTGAACCTGTGCAGCATTTATTAATGTCAGATAAGTCACTACTAAGATTAATACTAAAGTAGACAGTTTATATTTTTGGTATTCATTAGATTTTCCTTTTTGTGACGTTTTATTTTCAGACACTCTGGAGGTGTTACGCTGCAGAGAAACCAAACGGCTGCGCTGCTACATGGAAAATGTACGTCTTAACTCCAGAGGGTGTGGCAGCAGCGCAGGTGGACCACAGCAGTCCCAGCATCAAGAAGCTGAACATAGCGGTAACTGTTACCTGCATGTTTTCAATAAAAATCTCTCCTATTAAAAGACACAACTCCGAATCAGTCAGGCTGAATTATTTTACACTGAATAATAAATCCTGTTTAAATTCTGATTTAAAAAGCTGTTGCATTCATATACATCTGACGCTGACATGAATGTCTCTTTGTGCTGTTCACCTTTTGCAACAATATTAGCTATACTGTGCAGAGACCATAGAGTAAAACGTCTGAGCAAAGTTCTCACAAATGTACACACATGGTGAAGAACACAATGCACAGAAAAACACAACTACCGACACACAACAGCTCCTCCTACCCCAAAGGCTTGACTCCTGCAGGATGACTTAAGGCCTTTGTCTCTGCCGGACAAAAGCCCAGTCAGTTGAGATGATGTCACCACCGCCTTTCTCATGGGAGTAAACCTTTGTCAAGTAGTACAACGACAAAAAAATCTTTGTGTCGCATTGAGCCCACACGTATTGGAGATAATGAAGGCTGCTTCCGCTCATTTCTGTTTTGGCGTGTGACTTTCTCTGCTGTCTTCCCTTCTATCTGCCTCTTCTCAGTCTTTCAGGATTCTTCTCCAGATTTTCCCGTAACCAACTCTCTGTCACTCTCCTCTGTCTTCTCTCATCTCCTTCTATTGCCAAAGGTTGTCCTTCACCATGCGGCTGAATGTGTTTCCTGGTCTTTGTTCCACCTTATTGTTTTTGTTTTGCATCTGCCGTGCTTTTCTATTTTCCATTAATGACACAGGAAACATTTGTCCTATTAAGTTAACAGCAGCCCATGGTGCAATTACCTGAATCTGACCCAATCAGTCTTAATAATGAAACTACTTTAAAGGTTACATCCGTAATGTTTGCTGTTTGGATCTGCCTAGAAACAGGACATCTCACACACGTACTGCCTCACATAACACACAGCTATGATTACGTTCTATGAAACAAAGTTTAAACAGGCTAAACTTACATTACCAGATCCAGAGGTCATGACTTGATCAGATTTAGATTTGTAAAGGAAGAAATGTGTGGAGTTAGTGCGCACATGTTGGCATGATCTGTTTTTTTTTTTACACCAGGTTGAATGGTTGAATAGGTTCAGTTATCTTATAAACTTATTATTTTTATTATTATTTTTTTTTTTTGGCAGAAACTATTTCCAAACAGGGAAAGGGTCAAAATCAGATACACTGAGCAGACGACAGACAGACTATGTCACTATTTATGATTCTGTTTGCGATGAAGATAAAATAATGCAAGCTTAGTAATCAGGCTATTTGAAATTACCAGCTGTTCCCACAGTGAGGGACACAATCCCTGGGGGTTGTAGTATATTTGCAAAGGGGGTATAATAGAAATTAAATTAATAAAGACCCATTTTTACAGGTAAGTGTTATATATGGGAAAGCGAAATTCTGTAATATGGTAAAAAAAAAAAAAAAGGACACGCACATACATTTTCAAATTCTAGTGCTTTAAATGTAGTTTGATTGTTTTATTTGAGTTATAGTTTATTGTATTGCAATATGTAATATCACTGCAGTGTTAGTTAGGAGGATTTCTTTGACCAAACTATTTTATTTTTAACTCACAGTGTTGAAAGATAAGCAATTTAAAACAACTAGTTAAATGGTGTAGAAATTCTACTCATTCTACTTTTTCTACTGCTGTATACTGTAAGGCATTTACGAAGTCAACGGCTGGACTTAAATAAGCTAAGTCGACTCACATCTGGACAACTCAAAAGTTGCTTTTTTTAAAAGTCAGAAAACATTTAGCAAAAAAAAAAAAAAAAATGAAATTATCTCTGAAAATCAACTTGTTTTAAGATTTCATCTCAGCGCTAATGTGATCTGGATTCAGACTTTTCTTTTGCCAGTTGGCACAGGGTTTCCAAAGACAAACAAATATGCATTTCAGGTCATTTCGAGGAAAAAGGTATTGTTGAATTTAAATGTATAGCCTGTTTGTTTTTCTCCTGCTCTGCTGCTTAGTTTGGATGCTACTTGAGTTGGATTTTATGCTCCCTCTCCTTGAAACTAGAAATAGATTTCATCTGAGAGTGTTTACCATCTGTTCCTGTTCACAAGTGAGATCAGTTCAGTGTCTGCAGTGATGTGATGCATCTTTAACGACTGAAAATAATTCTGGGGAAACCATTAAAACCTAAAAACATGACCTCATTGCGGGCCTTTTTTTACAGCTAACTTTCTTATTAAACTGCTGTGTTTAAATGACCAAATTTAATAGATCAGTAGGTTATTTGTTATGACCGGATGTCTCACGTGTGTCTGGCAGAAAAAGGGGACTAAGAGAAGACTGAAGTCCAAAGGGCCTGGCTCTCTAGGTGTTGCCTCAGAGAGAGCTGTGTCGATCCCTCAAATCACCTATGAGCACATCGACGACTCTGTGGAAAAAAAGGATGTCTCCTTTTTTATTGCACAGCCAAGGGGGACAAATGAAGGTAAAACAATATTAGAAAATGTGTGTCTCATCACTTTGCTCTACAGTTGCTAATTTGTAATAGGTTCTGACATAGCTCCTTTCAGTCTGGTGGATTTTTCAAAGGATGCCTTCTAACCTTTTATAAATTGCAAATCTTCCATCCTGGCGCTTCAACCTGCAGAAATTACACACTAAAACACCAACTTCCCCTTTATTTCTGCTCGATTAAACCTCTCCATTCTGGACAAGAGATTTTGAATTTAGACTTGACAATCCGAAAAGATTCTCTGGGGTCACGATGACCCTCAGTGGCATTGGGGTTCAAATTTAATTTAATGGTTTTTACACAAGTGAAACAAGCTGAATGAATACAGTGCTGTGCAAAGTATTCCTTTTAACCTTTGACCTTTGTTCCATTAATCACATTGCAACTGTAAACTTCCATGTAGCATATATAATTTTATGCCAGACACAAAGTAGTGTGTAACTTAACAGTGGAGAGAAAATAGTTCCTAGTTTGAGGTCCTAAAGTCTGCACTGAGATATTTACCCTGCTGCAGTTACAGCTGCAAGCCCTTTGGTGTATTCCGTTTCCAGCTTTGCACGTTGTTCCCATCAGTTCAGACTACCTTCACTGTCTTTTTTCTGTCAAAGGCGTGAAGCTGTTTCATTATGGGGATGACACACAGAGCATTTCTGGCAGAAAGACATGTTTCTACCAGGCCCTGATACTGAACAATCGACTCATTCCTCTGCAACAGTGCTAAAATACTTTGGTTTTTAACATCTTTGTTAGATTTCGGAAATAAAACTTAAGCCAATGCTTATCTCATTGCAGATATATTCTCTCATTTGTATGGAGTCTCTTCAAAATCAAAGGAAAAGTGTATCTGTAACTAATTATGAGAGACTTTGTTGACACAGACGATCCAGAATGGACAAGAGACACTTCCTGTTTGGATTATAACCTCAGACAGGGAAGCCGACTAAACACAGCAAAACAATATGTCGATTGGACATTAGTGATACGACACAAAAATATGAGCTGCAATCAAGCAGTTTAATATATATTTTTTTTCATTTTTTCTGACTTTTCTTCCTCGACCACAAAGTTCTTGGAGACATGTTTTTACCCTGTTGTTTTTTTTTACTGATGCACTTAACAGTGACCCTCGAAAACTACTACATGCCATAAATTCAGAAACAGACTTTTGAGCTCTTGGGTCAACAGCTGAAAATGAGATGAGATTAATTTAAACATAGTTGGACTTCAGGTACTAATCAGTTGACATCCGAAAAGAAAATAGATTATTTCGCTTTACTTATGGGTATCAAATTAAAGTGGGTGAATAAAAATGCACCCACAGAACCCCCTCCCTGCCAAATAAACAGAAGGTTGTGATTATAGAGTGAAAAATAGTTAAATAAATTTAGTGGGGACCTTTTTAGGGCAATATTTGGCATACTTGGAGACATTAAATGAACTCATGCTGCTATTAGGAACTTGAAAATCCAGGATCTTGTAAAACTTAAGCTGGGGGGGAAATTAGAGGTCCATAACAGCCTCATTGTCAAGGTGATGTTTTTCTGGCACTTCAGACATGCTACCACATAGGTTGTGCTTTTGTGTTGTCAAAATTATTTTTGAAAAACTTCGCACACACCTATTCATTCCAAATGAATAGGTAGGTGTGTCCGATCTTTTGACTGCTACTTTGTGTTTATGTCTTTCGATGGAGCCGGAACAAAAGCTAGAAATAGATCTGTTGGCGGTGAAAGGGTAAAGATAATGGACTGAGATGTGTTCTCACCACTGCAGAGTGAGAAAACAGACATTAGAGCACTCTGGGCCTCTTTGCAGAGGATGTTTCAGGTTATGACGGAAGAAGCTGTTATGGGATGACTCCTCATTTTCACGCAGTAAACAGAGACGCTGTCCTCCTCCGCTTGGAGCCAAGATGGCTGCCAGGTGCCTCACTTAAGCCACATGGAAGCCATTACAGCCTTAGTGGTGATTAGAGGTCATAGTTACAAGCTCTTTACGGCTTCAGTAGCCCCCTCCCCTCACCGGCCACAGACACTCTCATCAGGCTTAAATGGAAACTACTTTAAAATACCAGCTCGTCAAAGTTACAAGTGGGAATTCCTTGTAATCCTGGTTACAGTTTACTAAGGCAGTCACATCAAAGCCAATATATTTTATTAGAGTACACATGGTAAAGATTGATCAAAGACTCTTAAATCAACAGTTTGATCTGCATGTGTCTAATCTCAGGATGATTTAAAATGTAAGCCCATACACATGATATACAACTGATGGAGGGTTATTGGGGAGGTGGTTTGGCTTCCTGTGTTAAAAGCCATCCCAAGCAAATGAACTGACCCAGATTCCAGGTTAATAAACAGACCTTATGAGTTTTTTCCTGTCAAAGCATGCTACCATAAAAAGAGCTGCTGTGACATAAACCTGACATAAAGGCGAACCATCACTATAAGAGCAGCTACCAACACCAGGAAGAGCTTAAGTCGTCTGCTTAATTGGATGTATCTTGGAAAACAAGCAGACAGCATGTCTGCATGGGAAAGAAGCAATGAAACTCAAGAGACAGGACATAGCATCCTCTCTCCATGCACAGGGTTAGCGCTTGTATTTGTCCGGCAAATGCTTCATAGTTGTCTGTTAAAGAATTTTACTTGACCACTTGGAGGGGAAAAAGAAACAGGATGAGCCATGAGTGACATTAAAGGAGTAAATAAGTCATAGTCTGCAGACTGCTGTCGTTAATAATGATGTCTGAGTTAAAAAAAAATGTGGCGCTGTAGAATCTCTGCTTTAGATCCATTAAGGAATGTCTTTCCTGTATCATTAAACCTAAAATAGGGTTAGAGATGGCACATGGGACAATTAGGTTTAAAACAAAGGTTTTATTGAGAGTTATTGGATTTTATTCATCCTTATATATCAAGTACTGTACTTGTAATGCTTATAAAATACAAAATATTTTACGTTTTTTTTCTTTGAAGACTAAAAGACAAATGGGAGTTAATTGGAATAATTTACAGAGGATTTACATTTGCTGTCCAAACATTGTTAAATTTCTGTGTATATTTTCCTTCTCTTGCAGGGATTGCCAGAATGTTCAGGAAAGCAGGTGAGTTTTTCTATCAACCTTTAAAGGGAAATGTTTAAAATAAACTGCTTTGCAGATTTTTTTTTTTCATATTCTTGTAGATTTCATCACAAAGTTTTCTGTAACTGTGAAATAAAAGGAAACCTTATCTTTACATTTTCAAAAGAAAACATCTGATGTGTGTGGCATCTACACTGCAAAAACAATCCAGAAATAAGTAAAAAATTGCTTAAATTAAGTATATTTAGCCTTAATTTGAGCAGGTAAATAAGATGATTTGCCAATGGAATGAGTATTTTCACTCTTAAAATAAGATAGTTAGATAATATTTACTTGAAATAAGAAGATAAAATTGTTTTTTCTTATTTTAAAAGGAAATTGTCTTGTTCCATTGGCAAAGTGTCTTACTTACCTCCTCAAATCAAGGAAAAACACACTTATTTTAAGAAAAAATAACTTATTGAGATTTCTATTTTTTGCAGTGTATATGCATTTAGCAACTGTAGTGCAATACCTCCAAGTAAAGTAAAATAAAAACAGATCAAGCTGTTGATAGTTTAATCTCAGGATTTAGAGGTTTGTTGGAGAACATTAGAGAGCACATTGCATCCTGAAGAGCAAAGAACCCAGCAGACAGGGTTAGAAGGGTATGAATCAGCTGCAAATCTTCTAAGACAAGGCACTCCACCTTAACTAAAAGCAAGCAAGAGGATCATTAATCTGAGAGACAGCCAACAAACTGTTTAAATGAAGCCCTTGGCAAACCTGACTGTCAAGATTTTAAAAGCTGATAAAGGAATACTGCAAAATACTTGCAGCTGCAGCTTTTTAAAAAAAGTAATAGTTTTGCAAAACACCACCTTTCAGACAAGTGATTTATGTCAAGATTATACTTTAAGTATCTTAGTCTGATAGAGATTTATTATATATGTCTTGTGTTTGCTACACCTTTCCATACAGCCTGTTAGTGTTGGTCCATATCTAAACAGACTGGTACCTTTAGTGCCAATGCGTGTTCACTGCTGGACAAGGAGCCACTTCACAAAGTACTTCTGTTTGCTATTAAAAACCTGTCTGTGTTCATCATTAGCCAGCCTGTCCCCTTTAATGTGGCCCAGACTGTATTTCAATTAGACATTCTGGCTGGCTGAGGCTTTGTCCTCAACCGGACCGAACCAGAACCAAACAGAGACACTCTCAAACTCTGGTCACAAGTTGACCCGGCCTGTTTTCTCTACTGGGTGCCCTGCCAACAGAAAGGCTGAGCAACAGGACTTGAGTGATATGGACTGGGTCCTTGGGGAAACGGATCACACACAGGCTGGAACACTGCAGAGAGGTAGAGAGGTGGGTAGCGAAGGGAGATGTAGAGTTGATAAGCTGCCATTGTGGAGCTCCAGTTGATAGAAATGAACAAGTCATTGTTTGATTTTTGTCATCCCACTTATCTGTCTGGTTCAGCCCAGCTCCCCCTGTCTGAGAGAATAACTCAATGCACTGCAGTATCTTTGCCTTGTTTTTCTTTCACTCAAATGGCTTCTTATCTCACCACATTCTGTACTTTGAGGCAGCAAAACAAGTTTACATCCACATAAAAGTGATTCCAAAGGCAGCTCTAGTTATGTTAGGAAATTCTACCTCTCTTACTTCCACTTCCTCTCCTATTCGCTCTCTCCACTTCCACATTTGACATTGTCAAACAAAGCGGATGATGGAATACAAGCAGGTTGGAAAGGCTTTACTTGAATTGGAACGGTCATTCAGTACTTCGACGCAGATTTGCCTCGCCATTCTTCATCACAATGGAGGCTTGGTGCTTTGGAGGAGAGACATGTCAAACTCTGCTGACAGTCTGGCTGCAGGTCAAGACCCGGCTACACATGTTGTTCTTTGCTGTTGTTTTTAGGCACCCCAGCCAGCTGCACAGCTCAAGTAGAGCTCTGCAGTTTTTTTTTTCTCTGTCTGTGCTGAGTTCAAACTTCTCTGAATATCCTCCCATTTTTGTTCACATTTTGTAGAGTGAGAAGCACCAACTACTGGGATTCTTATGTTCAAACACTAAGCCATGTATTATTTTGCAGATGAAGGCAAATAATTCATGGGTCGCATTTATCTTTTACACAAAGTCTATAAGTTGTATTATGCATTTATATCCAGCCACCTTTACTTTGAAACACCTAAATGAATTTCTCTGAATTCCGGTTCAATTGCATGTTTTCTAAGCCAGAACAGTGCTTTGTTTTTTGGTCCACTCTATAAAGCCTGGAACACGATTGCTATTTCTGACAATTTGAATCAAAAAGCTTCCTGGATGGGAAGCGAAACGTCATCAGACTTGTAAACAAAAACCACTGGATTGCTTTTTATCTTTTTTTTTAGAATGAATTCCAAAACTAAGCCCTCTTCTTTTTTCATAAATTAAGAAGAAATAGATCCTGTATCGGTATAAATGAATCACAAGGAATAAGACAGGTCAGTGATAATGTTGTGGATAACTTTAAAGCTAAGTTATGTTTTGTTTATTGAATTGTATATTTGTACAGCAGAAAATAAGCAGTCCACATCATCTTAACCACAGAATACCTAAGATGAGACATGGTGCTAGCTCTAGTAAAAGGCTTGAGACAAATCTGGCAAATCACCTTCTTGCAGAACAATGACCCTAAACCTACATAAGAGCTTTAGCTAATTTGTTTCTATCTCAGTTATATATCTATGCTAGAGCTACACATTCAATTCAATTCAGTTTATTTATATAGTGCCCATTCACGACACAAGTCATCTCAAGTCACTTTACAGTTCAACCAGATCATTCAGTCAAATTGATTCAGGTTTTCTGTCTAAGGAAACCCAGTTTATTGCATTGACTCAAATGCAATCCCTCACACTAAGCATGCTCGTAGCGACATAGGAGAGGAAAAACTCCCTTTTAACAGGAAGAAACCTCCAGCAGAACCAGGCTCGGTGTGAGCGGCCATCTGCCGAGGCCGACTGGGGTTCAAGGAGACAGAAGCAGAGATACAAAAAGTAGCTCTTAAAGGCGGCCCAGGAAACACACAGCCAGGCAGATGAGCTCTGAGCCAGCTCCCATGTCAGAGGATGAAGAGAGCACATCCAGTCAGTCACAGTCAGAGAAACAGGACTACACTGGAAAAAAGGCCAATCTCCAGCATCTATAAACAAAGGTGTTTATGGAAGCAGCACAGCTGATGTTTCTCTCCAGGATGGCGTCACAGCCAAACAGGAACAGACGAGACAAAGCTACTATGAGGAAAAGCAGAGAGAGCATAACATTAGAGATTGAACTAACAGATTCTGCAGATTGGGAGAATAGAGACAGAATGAAGCAGAATGATAAAATGGGGGTCGCTATGTCCTCTAGAAGTATAAACCTCTATAGCAGCATAATTATAGAGATGGCTCAGGATAACCTGAGCCACTCTATCTATAAGCTTTATCAAAAAGGAAAGTTTTTTAAAGGCCCACAACCAAAGTCATTTGAAAATATGAGATAACTAATGCACAGACACTCCTAATCGTAATTAGCTTTACCTGTTTTAAAGAAATAAAAAAAAATATTGGTGTTTTTGATGTGTAAATCTGGTAGGTAAATACTTGGAGTCTCTGGAGTCTGAATACAAATGCACCCGAGACTTAAGAGATTAAGATTACAACAAAAAATATGTATGAATTTCCTTCTCTTTCACAGTTATGCACCATGTCTATCACAGTATATCACATATGGTATCACAGTAAAACGCATTAACTTTGTCTATATTTGATGAAAAAATTAAAAAATTCATAATGTGAATACTTTTGCAGTTTATGACCTATGTGATTTGTTTAAGTCTTCTCATTTTTCTTCCTTTTCTTTCTTTTTCTTTTATGCATCATCTATCTTTTAGGCCCTCCTCACCACTCATGGTCATCTTTTACTCTGAGCTGCCCTGCTTCCCCAGGTATCCCTCTGCTCTTTTCTGCTTTCTTATGTTTGTAAAAAAAACAGCACACAGGAATCTTTTTTTTTATTTAATAATTCTAGGTAAAACCAATTTCTATATAATAATAATAATAATCGTGACAACTTAGCCTAATAAAGTTGTTTCATTCTTTTTTTTCCAGCTTCCTTGCTTTGGTCAAACTTGTAATTCTATCTTCTGTCTTTGTTTCTCTTTATAGTAAAGGGAAGTGGTGATCAAAGTGCTTCCATAGACATCTCCCGCGCCAACAGCCTCACCGATGACCTAGATGACATGAGTGAGGACATCCCCCTGCCTGTGGTCACCAACAAGAACCAGTAAGTAACCAAAAGTCTACCCTCAGCGATCCACTCCAAAGCATCGCCCTCTGCTGACCTTCATTATCTGATTCCTTTTAGACTGATTTCCCTCCTGGTCATAGTGCCTGGAGTTCTTTTGTCAGAGCAGAGAGCCACTTTAGCTGTTTTCTAAATGAAGCTGTTTTGTTTAAGTTTCTTGAGGGTTAATGAGACCCTTGAGAGCCAAGGCCGTATCAGGTACAGAGAGGGTTGTGAAGGGGATTATCCTTTCATTCTTGAGAAAAAAACGTCATTGACGTTTCTTTGAAAGGCTTGTAAGACATGTTATGGTACAGATGGCTTGTCATCACATGCCCTCATTGAACTCACTGTTGTTGCTGTGTGAATTCAGGGTGAATGCTGATGCTCTCCCTCCCACTAACCCGGTCATGCAAATTGGTTTCGCAAACCTGGGTGTAATTAGATCGGTTTGCTTTGTGTGTCATTGGACTTCCTGTGTTATTGTAAAGCATGCCGACTAGGGACTAACTCAGTCATCCACTAACCATCTATCTTTTCAGTGGATTTGACATCAGCACTGCCACATAAAGCAGTAACTATAGTGCTACTGCTAAATAGTAGTAGACTCTTATGGGTCTTCTGCTGAGGATGGCGCTTGTGTGGCATATTTATGTCCAGATGAGAAACGTATAAGATATGTTTAATCAGCTCAAGTGCTTCTCTGTGTTAATGCTGCCAATGCTGAGTGGTGTTTGTGTTGAGTTAATATATTGTAATGTTGTGAGCTACATTATTACATCAATCCTAAGGTGAAAGCTTATGTGCACCAAAGCCGTGAGGACACGGTTGTTATGTGGTTCTGTGACACAGTGCCACTATAATCAATAATATACATAACATGAGATTCATAGGTCACATATTTTATCGCCAAAATGCACGGCATATCATTTCCCACCTTTATTATTGCTTTTTAGAAGAATTAGGCTGATACATTGGATGGTTAATATTTTTGGCCAATATTACTGTTTTCTTCTTGTATCAGTATCAGTTTATATGTGCATTTGTTTGCTGATTTATTACTCCTTCAGCAGCCATGCCTTGATGCATAAGGTGTATGCATTCCCTCTGTTTTCTTATCAGCATTAGCCTTAATGCATTTAAAGAGGTACAACTGGTGAAGTTTTACCTCTTAGCACTATTAGTACTATTGCCTTGCTGCAAGAGGTAATAATCCTGTTGATGGATGGATGGATGGATGGATGGATGGATGGATGGATGGATGGACGGACGGACGGACGGACGGACTAAAATTGTTTTGTTCTTTAAAATCCATTTCAAAAGTGGTGCACAACTTATTTTCCTTAAGATGTATAACCTTCTCATTTGTGATTTTATGTAAAAACCTAAAACATCCTTCTTGTACTTTTGGGATAATTTTTCATACTAAGAGCAGAGGCCATGTTATCCTGTAAGTCAGAGAGAGAGGTTGGCGTTACACAGCTCTGTGTAGTTTAAGAATCAAACACATGATTAGGGAGTTTTAGACTGTAGATAGCATTTAGGGACTTAAATCAGTGATAAACACAGCATTCAGCATGGCTAGCATCAGGAACATTGTCACACTGTCATTATGTGTTTATTCTCCGAGGTGTTAGAAGGCCCTTATCTTAACTGTAAGATTTCCAGAGGATCTGACTTTATATTTCCTAACCAACCAATCACAGATCAGGATCTGTCTGGCAAAAATCTACAGATTCTGGCAACAAGCTTTTCTTTCTGTCCATCTGTATTTCATATTTCATTTATCATATTTGTGTCATTGAATTAAATAATACAACATTGATCAAAACAGAAATGGAAACTGAGCTTTTTCAATCCTAATATAAATGTAAACGATTAATTTTACATTTTTCAGACCAGCTTGGATATACACATGTTTAAGGCTGTTTTGTACAGTGTGAATTGTGGACACTTCTTGATGTTTTATTTAATAGATTGGAGCACCCAGTAGTCATAAAATGCTAAAATCTTAAAGATAACCCCCTATTTGCATTAATTATTGCTCTGATTTCAATTTGGTAGAATAAAGCACTTTTGTCAAGTCCTCTGAATTGAAAAAGAGCTATATAAGTCTTTTTTTTTTATTAGCCTTTTTATTTTACTCTTTACAAACAAAACTTAATTTGATGAGCACACTTACAGTATAAGCCTGTAGCTTATTTTTTCCTTAATTAATTTTGGGCCTGAAGTACCCATGCTATTCAACAGATTTGACGTCAAGCATGTCCATGTTAAATGTGTCCAACCTAGCAAAACAGTCAAAGTGTTATATCCAAGATGGAATTTGTGGATACTTAGAAGTGACTGGCCTTCAGCTTAACTCAGACAACGATGGAAACTACAGGTGAGGTGAGAAAAAAATGGTTAAGTATGCAAGCTATTACCCTTTTTTAACTGTCCACAAAACCTGTCTAAACTCGGGAACAATCTGCTTTTAATGGCAGTGGGAACAACTTTTCCATCTGTCAATATGCTCTATCTAGAACTCCACACCTGGAAAAGTTATTTTCTCGCCTGGTTTAAATTCATAAAAAAATCTTCTCTAAGGAACCTTTATAGATTATTAATTGATTAATTTAAAAAAAAATGTGACAGCTTAATATGCAAAATAATGGTTAGTTGCGGCCTTAGTACAAATTAGTTACGTTTCTTTATCTTCAGTGAGAAAATGCCATTTACTAGAAGGATGGGACTACTGTGTGACTGCAAGATGGTACCCTGACAAAAAAAAACAAAATGTGCTTTATACAAACTGACCAGGATCTGTTCACTTCTATTAATCTAAATAGATAACATGACAGGTAGTGACTTCAAAGGCTTATGACGGTTTCAGAAGGATTTTTAAGGGGATGCTGCCATGTCAGTTAACCATTATTAACATTCTTATTGGCAAAAATGCATAAAAAACCAGGTTAAGGGGCTTATTATACCACCTAAAACTGTTTGGTTTAAGGAAAAGAAGCATGAAACTCTTTTAACAACTTTTAACCAATCAGACACTGAACAAAAAAAAAAGTTTGAAGGTGTCAAAAGTTTAATGTATGAACTCCTTAAGACAGAGTAATATAATTCTTTTAAAACCTTTTTGTGCATTTATACCCTAAAAGTAGTTAACTGCATTTATTAGCATGCACAAAAATGAAAAGTATTTGAAATTACTTTGAAAAAAACTCACTTTATTGTCTGTTAATGTTGTATTTATGATGCTATCTTGTTACCAGCATTCATCCTAAGTACTATTTGTACTGCAACATGATTTTAGTATATACAGTAAGACCCCTCTAGTTTCCATGATATGGAAGACACACATTTTGCTTCAAGCAATATTGGCTGTGAACAATAATTTTATATTTATTATTTTATTTCGAGGCCTATTAATTGCTGTCTGTGGATGCTGGTGGCTTTAATCAAATCTCTGCTTTGATGTTGACTGTTCAGTATTAATTGCTTTAATACTCCAATCCCTCTTTTTGCCTTTTTTGACGCTATTTTCTAGATCTGTAACCCATTTTTGTTATTACCCAAGCTGTTTGTAATTGTGTTTACAATAATATTTCTATATTAACAAAGTGGCGAAAATAAACTTAAAATATCCTGTAGATCAAAAGTTAGAACACTATTTTATATATTCTATATATTTATTATAAATATTAAAATATTCAAGATGGCTAAGAATCTCTCCAAAGAGAGTTGGATATGGTGTAAAGTGCTTTAAATGGTCAGATTGACTAGAAAAAGGTATCTATAAATTCGGTCTCTTTACCATTTAATCCCAACTAACAAAAAAAAACAAAAAAAAAATATAATGTATAATGTAAGACAGCTATGAACGGGAAGATGCCTTTTCTCTCTCTTGCAGTCGGTTGACCTGCCCCTCCGTGGCTTTGGTTCAGGACTCTTTATCTACACATCATTTAAATTCTGCAAAGTACTGTACTGGGCTTTACCAAGAAGGTTTTTTCTTTCTATTTTTGAAGTTCTACTATTATGATGAAGTGTTTTATATTTACTGCCATCAGATCATCATTAGACGCTGCCAAAACATATCAGTCATTTAAAATATGACAATTTCCATTAGTATCCTGACATGATTGCAGATCCCTATAATTGTCACGGTTTGGTGGAGGTTTTTAGAAGACCCAAATGCAGAGATGAGGAGGCAGAGATGAGTTTTGCTGGTTTAATTGAAATCCTACAAGCAACACAAGCAAAGTCCGAAAAAAACACAAAATACTGAAAATCAAGGAAACATCAGTGAAAACAGACAAGGGAGCAAAGAAATGACGAAGAAACAAATTAACAAGAAACCAGAAATGAGAAACTGCAGAAGGGTTGTATATAAGGGGGTAAAAAAAAAAAAATGGCTAATGAGCTGATACAGAGCAGGTGTGAATAGAACTAACTAGAAGGGAGCCAACGGGAAAAGAAACAGGCACAAGGGGGCAACAGAGGGCAACAAAAGTGTTAAAAAAACAATCGACTGGACTTTTTTTCCAAGTTTAAAGATGTTTTACTTCCCATCCAGGATTTTTTTTTCAATTGAAAATGTTAGAAATAGCGTTGAGTTTGAGGCTTATAGAGTAGACTTGTTTCGTCTTAGAAAACCTGCAAATTGACATGGACGGGGGTTGTGATGAGAGTGAGAAGAAACCAACTCTATCGCTTCATTGTAATTTTTTGAAAGCTCAAATCTGAGTCAACCTCCTCTGTTTAAGGTTGGTTTTTCAATGTTAACATAGATGGCTTCCTCTCAAACCACCTGTCTTCTTTGCCTAAAACATTCTGGTCCTCAAAATAATGTCCTTTGTCCATAAGGTGTAGATGTACCATCGTTTCTTGTCCCGGGGAGGTCGCTTTTCTCTGTTGGGCCATGCATCTGTGGAGAGCACCACTGGAGTGGTGTATGCAGTTCATACACCATTCCAGTGATGTATGAACTGCATGAATGGTGAACTGCA